TATAATTTCATTTGGTTATTGTTTTCTTATTATTTTTCACAATTTTTTAAAAATTTTAGTGATGAAAAATTGCTTTTTGCAAACATAGTAATTTTTTTTCCCATAGCAACTTCAAAATTAATTTTATAGAACACTACAACTATCCCATGCAAACTTTTAATGTAATTTAGATATTAGAATATTAAATAAATAATTATAAAAATTAAGATGCTAGAGATGTAAATATCTTATAAGAATTCCACTGCATGCATATAAATCCCTAGTTAAATTACTTTAAAAAAAATAATAATCAAATATGTTTTAATTGTTTTTCTTTTCAAAAACAACTCATCCAAAAAAACTCCTAAACTTTTCAAAACAATCTTAAGAGATATTTGAGATACCTTTTTCACATCTTTATTTTACAAATCATAAATACTTACTTTATTATTTCAAAAAAATTATAAATTGTAATTTTTTTTTCACAACTAAATTTACTAAAATATATTTTATAAAAATATTGCTCTTTAAAAAAAAGAAAAAAAGATCTATAATTTCACAATAATTTTATTGTGTCCTGGAGTATTCACGGTGATAGAAAAATATAAAGTTTAACATCCTAGTTTTGTACGAATATCCAATACACAAACAAATAAAAGAGCAAGGTATATCATGCATAAGAGACACCAAAATTTTTACATAAAAATTCTTAAAAAGGGGAAAATCCATAGGACATTGCTTAGTTGAAATAATTCAACTAGTGTTGATAGTTGATTACAAATGATTATCTTCCATTGGGGAAGGTGTTAACTCAATATAGCAAATATACATTGTATGAAGCGCATTACATAGTTGAAGTTGGTAGGATCCGACGACATGTGAGTTGTTCTTAAGGAAATTTTGTCATATTTGTTTGTTTGGTAGAACCATAGTGAGGCGACGGAGGTCGGAAGGACTATAGTCGACGGGCAACGGTGGTAGGAGGGCCGTAGTAAGCGGGCAACAGAGTTCGGAAGTGGGCCCGATGATGGCCACCGAAAGAAGGTTCGACAACGTTGGTTGGGCAAAGGCCGGTTTAGCAGCGACAACCTGGTGGCACATAATTATTGGCGGTAGTAATGGGGTGGAGCTTCGGGATTCTTCAAGCTCTAGACCTCTGCTCTTGTTCCTCCTCCCTCTCTACCCCTTCATGCGAAGAATGAGAGAATATTTATAATTTTTTGGGGAGTGACTTGCACAGTAAATATGGAGAAGACTTAGGACAATTTTGGAGCATTCCATCAAGTAGCCCATAGTGATTCCCTTAATTATAGAGCGTTTACTAAGTATTTGAATGGCTTTGTGATGTTAGAATTGAACGAAGTTGGGCTCGTTGAATTCGTCTCGTCGAACCACTCGATTCAACTATAAGCATGCTATATTTGGATTTCATTTAGTCATCCAATTAATGATTTCAAGCTTTCAAGTAGGCTTTAATCCTTAGATTTGGGCTCAAATTAGATTGAATTGATGTCATTAGGCTTGTCTCCTTGAGATGTCCATTGAGACTATAAGCTTGCTAAAGTCAGAGTTTGGATGGTCCAAAATTTAATTTTAGAAGTTTCCAATTTAGTTTTGCATCGAGATTCATGCCATATCAAGGCGATTTTTTGTGCCGTATCAAATTTTAAAAAATTTACTTTTATAATATCAATTTGTTAACTTATTTTACTTAACAGTTGTAACTATTCAAAATTGGCCATTAATAGACAACACTCCATGTTAGATGATCAATGCCATAAACCCATTATTTCATCATCATCAACTATACAAAATTAATAAAGAAACTTTGATTTAAATTCAAACTCCAAACTAACAACCAACAACTAATTATTTATCATCCTTCAACAACATGATGCCAACAATAACTATCTCAAGCCCTTGCATGCATGTACTTGCCTTCTTGTTATCCATGTTCTATACATCATGTTAGAATTAAGATCTTTATGAACTAATATTATTTCTTATGACAAATTTTAATATATTTTATCAATAGAAAAAAATTTATGCCAATAAATCGTGATATAAATTACATTAGGTAATTTTTTTTGAATTTAAATTACATTAGGTAATTTTTTTTGAATTTAATGCAATACAATCTCTCTCAATATAAATTACATTAGGTAATTTTTTTTGAATTTAAATTACATTAGGTAAATTTTTTTGAATTTAATGCAATACAATCTCTCTCTCTCTCTCTCTCTTTATATATATATATATATATATATAAAATAAAAGTAAATTTGATTATTTGTTTAATTGAAACTAGATAAAGTTAATGCATTTAAATTAAATGCGAGTAGAAGAAATGTGGTCATTTTTTCATATATTTAGGGTATGTTTGGGAGGACTATAGCATTTTATAAAGTTGGTTGTAAAGTTACGAGGGAAAACGACTTAACAACTATGATTGTAAAAAACATATTTTCGCTAAAGAAACTTCTAAAAAGCAGCGAGAAAACAGTAAGAAAATTATAGTCAGATCAAATAGCGATGATTGTCTGAAAAGAAAAACAGCTAGAGAGCTATTCCAAATTGATTCTTACTTATATTTTTTGAAGCAAAATGTTATGGATATTAATTAATAGTATGGTTGCTTTACATCATATTGCTCCTCAGCCAAACAAATCCAACAACATCAATTATATGTTGTACCACTCATGGGAGAATAAGGTGCCATGATATTTGATGAACAAACCAATGGACATGACAATTCTCATATAAATGTGAAGTATTAACTCAACTAAGGTTATTGTTGAATGAATGGAAAATATGCAAGTATACTTATAGTATAATGCATAAGGCAATTTGTGTTTCAATAAGTGAGAGTATGTGATGTAGCCTACTATAAATATTTTTTATTGTGTTATTGGATATTTGATTAAGGTTAAAAGATGATTTAATACAAATGATGATGGTTTGATATTTTTTATTTAATTATCTTTCTCTTTCTATAATATTCAATTTTGGTTAGATGTGTTATAGTATTGTGATTGTTGAATTCAAATTTGTTTGTGAATCACATTCTACTATACGGAGAATATTGAGCGCAAGGAAAAAGAGCTACAAAAAATTCGAGAGTGATAAGCTATGAGATTCATGGAAAATGAACTTGAGTATAGAAAATTATGTAAATTGAGTTTACCCCTCGACCTTGATCATTTATAGACTTGAGTTGGGATTTCATTGATACATTATTAGCTATATGCACAACTATAAATAAAATAAGACAAAAATATAATAATTATGTAGCCAATTAAAATATCTAAAATCATGAAATAGTTCGGCAAACTCCCAAGAAATTGTTAGCATGGTGTGTATTGATGTTCGAACATTTGGTTAGTTGATCAATAGTTTTCTATAGGAATTTGACCACTTGAAGAGAGCTAGGTCCAACTTAATAGATTGTACTGGCTAGGCTCAAATGATAGGTCATACTTACCTACTAAGACGAATTCTTAAATTGTAATTGCTTACTTGAGGTGAATTTATTGTAGATAGGTAATTCCCTCTTGAGCTAAGCCCGAGTAGATCGGTTTAGCTTGGATTGAACTTGATTGACTTCGATCAAACCGAGCCAACTTGGCTTGAACCTAATTTTCTAAATGTTTGAATATATAGTGATAACGATCACTAAATAATGACAAAAATTGATATAATAATAATGATTGGTACCACCTGAGGTTTTTGAATATAGATTTGATCAAATTTCTTTCAAATAAATAAGTCGATCTTATTAATGAGTGATGACAAAATGATAAAATTGAGATTTGTCTATTAGTACCATAATAGGCAAAGCTCTAGGCCTACTAAAGAATGTATAATGGTAATGTAGCTTGAAGATGACTTAACTAGACTAGTTTAATATTTTTCAAGATTCATAGTTACATATGGCAACTCCTGAAGAGAAATGGAGCTGATTTTTAATAAGATTGAGAGACCCAATTTGACATCTCCAAAGTTCTTAGGAATGTTTGCTAATGTGATCTAGAATACTTGATAGACAATTTACAAACATAACTCTTTAGAACTACCCTATTTAAATGTAAATGTTTAACACTCAAAATTTTATATTTACTCATATAATATATATGTATCTTCAGATGTTAAATATATAACTATGATAATTTTAAATGTTATGCATATAGATCTTCCTAATTAATGAAGGCTTGATCTAACCAGAGAAAACTATGAATGAGGGATGATGCATCCCACTCATGCCAACTTCGCCATCAATGATGGAATGCGTATTTGTTGCCTTATCCGAAACGATATGAATGAGTAGTTCTGGCTGGACATCCAGCTTGCTCTTGTCATCATCATGCACAGGCTTATCAAAATAAAGAACTCCAAAGAGTGTGTTATCATACACAAGCTCATCATAGACAGACAAACACGACAATTTCGGCAACAAATCTTTAAACCTATCGAAGATAAATTCAATCGAAGGTGAGGAGGAAGACTTACAGGGTGGCCCTTCAAATATGTCTTTGTAGGAAGTAGTCCGATCAAAATTAGGTAGATCAATCTTAATGCCTCCATCATCCTGTAATCCTCACCTAACATGGTTCAAATGTCGTCTTCTTGCCTCTTCATCACTCGAAAGATTTTGATAAAAAGGCGGAATGTCTTCTTCCTCTTCTAGACGTTCCCGCATTACGCTTGAAGCTGTCGCATCACAACACAAGGTTTCTGTACTGAAAGGAGATCATGGTTGCTCTTTAGGTTGTCTACAGCATGTTGTGCTATCCCTTAACCTACTCTTGACCTCTTTTAGGATCATTCTCTATTGAGGTTGGTAAAAAAAAAAAAAAATCTCTATTGAGGTTGGTGAACTCTATTAAAAGCTTGTCACCTTTGCTTGTTAAGAGAACATTGCTCAAATTAAGGAATTGTTTCTCCAGTGCTATCCCTTACACTTATTATGATTTATCCATTCTGAAGCAATTAAATTAAAAAAAAAAAGAATTTAAACTGGAAAAGAAATATCAATTATGTAATGCATATTTTTCGATTCAAAAGAATGGTTTTATTCTATCACTATAATCTACTAAAAAGAAACGCATACAGCTTTCCCTTTTTTGAACAAAACAAATTAACCTAGTCAGAAAGATTTAGAGCGTGCAGTGAGGAAAAAATTTAAAAATTTACCATAGAATTAACTGTACGTGAAAGAAATCTACACAGGACAAAGCACCTCAAAACTTCTTGACAGCAGCGCCAAAATTTGGGCAAGCTCTGACAGCCTAAATCATGCAAGCATAGCTCATCTCCCATACATGGGAGGCAACAATTGAGCTGTCTAGATGTGTTGGTTTGATTTGGCCTCATCGTCTTCCTCACTGTCCAAACCCTGCCAAACATAGAATCTTTTAAATACTGGTTACAAAATCTGCATTCTTGAACTTCTCTAATGGCAAGATAGAACTTTTCAAACGAAATTCAAGAAGATATTTCACAAATTCCAAGAAATTTTTTTCAACTTGGCTAATTATATACAAGCAGGTATCATGTCATAGCTCCTTTGAGAATTGCATGTACAATTAATTTTAAACCTTAAAAGATAATGATAAAGTGGAAAGATCATTTGGAATTAATAAATATATTTTGATTTGAAATACTGAAAATTGTGAAGGTATGCACTTACCGAGGTGCCACCTAATTTATCAAAATCATCATCACGATCATCTGCAAATGCATCACACAATTAACTTTTCAATAAGATTTGCAGCAACTGGTATATAAAACAGCTCAGGCATAAAGAGCAAGCTATTTCAAAAGCAGATTTCAGATAATATGTTAAAGCAGATGAATCTGCATTGAAGTGGAATAGGGAAAGCAAAGATGAGAATAAAATGTTTAATAGTACCTTGTCCTTCGTCACTACTTCCAAGATCTCCCAAAAGAAATACATCCAGGTCTTGCTCTGCAGTGGAGGACGTTGAAGGCTTGCTTTGCAATTTGGATTCTTTCAGCTCTTCCTTGAGAGCAGGAGTGCTACTTGAAGTATCTTTAGCCTGGTTGTCCTGTTGTGATGGTTCAAATGCTTTCATATTTATTTCCTCCATATATTGCTTTTCATATCTGATTTTAAAGGCAGAAGATAATAAACTAAATCAGAATCACAAAAATTAACTTTTCAAAAAGCTGTGCAAATAAACTGCCTGTTGGTTGTACGTTGACGCTTCAGGTTTTTCAGGCTAAAGCTGATGCTGGTAATTACCAAATTTTGCCCCGCTCATGCAAATGCCTTGGAAAAAGGCTGGGAAGGCAATAAGAAACTCTCACTAGATGCATGTTAAAGGAAATGTTTGATAAGGTGATATATGTTATGTAACGTTATGGTATTAGCATGATCAGATATTTGTTTGGTGACAATTTATAGTAGCAATTTTATAAATGACCTTTAGATCGGCCAAAATAAATTAATGAAAAAATCATAATCAGTGTTGAACATTCTAAAAAATATTACATTATTCAAATAAAATAGTACTGAACAAAATGCATTACATTTGATAGATAAATCATTAAAAAGTATAACTGCAGTGAAGCAACTGCAAAAATAATCATGAGTTGTTGTGGTAAGACGCTAGCAATTTCCCTTTGCATACATTTCAAGTCGTTTAGGTTATTATTTTCACTCGAATTAAAGATAAGGTCTAAAAAAGGAAAAGAAAACAAAGGGCCAGTGAAATGGAAACAGCAAACGTTCAAATATTCTATGAGCATAGAGATTTGACATTGGCAGACCTATTGAATTTTGGGGGAAATTAAGATTTAGATAATCAAAGATGTTAACATTACAGTCATACAATGGAAGGACTTGAGTTTTGCAATTCTATCCATTCCATTCACAAAATAAACCATATCAACACAGGTTGGATTGTGGCGTCTCATAAATTTTTATCGCACCAAATCATGTGCGTGTTACACCAATGCTTTTGCTAACATTTATGGTAACTTTGAAGGGACTTTAGGATCATTTTCTTTTTTCTGTTTTTATTTTTTTTAGTTTAATTTTATTTTGTTTTCATTTTGGCATAAAAAAAATGTTTGATAACATAAATATAATTTTTTTTCTTTTTATTGAATTTTGACTAAGTTGATTTATGCAGTGGTGGCAGCAGTCACCATCTAGTCGACAATAGAGACAGCCGGTAATGGAGGTAGGGTTAACAAGGAGGGTGGAGGTGATTGCTAATAGTGTTGGTTGTTTTTTAAATATATTGTGTTTTTAAAAATGAATTTTATTCATTTTCAGAGATAAAATAAAAAAATTATAAAACACAAAAACCAAACATTGTTTAAAAATAAAAATAAAAAAGTGATGTCGAACAAGCCCTAAGTAATTTTTTTATTTTCTTAAACTGTTCCTATATCACTCAGCCATCAAGAGTAAATAAAATATTCCAAGACTAAGATATTCATGACTTCTTTTCCTGAGTACTGCATGTCTTTATGACAGCATTTTTTTTATGTTAAATAAAATTGCAGTTTATAAAAAGAACTCAAGTGCCCAAAAAAAAAACTTTTTGGTGCCTTTCTAGGACAAAAAGCAATGATACAATCTAGATGAAAACTATAACTAAAACAACTTGTACAACTACAAGGAGAGACTTACGGGGCAACATGACTGTTCACAAGAATAAAATATATCTGCCAAAACTTTCTCTCCTTCATGTAGCGTGGGCATAGCTCATATCTGAACTTTGATATATCCTGCAAATGTTGTGAAGCAAAAAGCTCTAAATATGCACTTCATTGATATATAAATAGTTTCTAAGGTTTTGGTGCATAGATTTGACGTAGTGCCAATCTGTTAAAAATATTTCAATGTGGTCCGCAATAACAGTATGCATGTAAGTAGCTAAGATGTGACTGAACCACTGTTGGATAAAAAGAAAAAATGAATTCACAACAGAGGATGAAATTGACTAGCTGACTAAATGAGGAGATTAATATAATTGCGAACAATCATCTGAAAAAGCAAATGAAAGCAACTTACAAGGAACATTAATGAGGTGTTTTAACAGAAAACAGCAAGTTCAAGGGATAAGGTGAAAAGGGTATAATTAGTTGCTTGAAAAAATAATCATAAACAAAACAATAAATACATCCAAAAAAATAAAAGTTGCATTAACTTCAAAAATATTTAAGGTAAAATGTTAAGTCGAGATGGGAACTTATTAGGATTAAAAGAAATGAAACATGTCAAAATAGTTTAGCTAAAAATCCTTTTTAATGCAATTCTGACGACTAAGAAGGTGTTAGAATTTCAGCATGAATATTTAAGAAATAGAAATGCATGCGGTATTGAAATGAATTAAAATTATAAGGTGTTTATAAGAGCAAAAAATAATCATGATCTCATAAAATCAATTTAGTTTGTTCACATTTCAATCCATAATTATCTAAAATGGGGGTAATTTTTGAACCAATTCAACATATACTAGAATATAGAGAACAACAAAATTTCATGTTCAGATGAATTTTATTGATCTTGAAAATTCATATGATCAAATACTAAAGAATTTGGTCGCCACCATGTAGTGACTCGAACAGAAAATGTTGTAGAATGACCAATAGAAAGTCAAAATGATATAGGATAAAGGATGCTCAGATGCCAATTTATTTAGGATGATGGTTTTGAAAGCAATTTCAATATGAGCCATTTTTTTGTAAATCTCCTTGATTTTCTTCTTCTTTCTCTTAATGGCTGTTTTAGACAAAAGGGAATAAAGGAGAGATTTTGAAAGAAGAAAGAGGGAAGACCACTACTGTAGCATAATGTTGTAGTAATTCAATAGCAGAGAGATAAAAAAGAGAACAAGTTGATCTGGAGGATAGATAGTATAAGATGTTAAGGAGAGAATAAGGGTGAGGGAATCTTTCAATTGCAATTAATAATTCAATAATTATTTACAATACATAAAACTCTTTATTTCTACAAATATGATTACAGATATGACAAAATTCATTTGAATTTAAATAGAACCGAAACTTGGATAACTCGAAATAATCTTATCATCTAATTTGAAATAAAGACAATCCTAAGAATTTAACGAAAAAATTCTAAAATATTCTGTATATAATCTAAAATTATTTCATAGGTTTACAATTCTTCTAGGTAAGATTGAACTATTCTCATAAAGAGTTGTGAAGAATTAAATTTTCTTGGAAAACTGTCATTCATGATGACAAATATTTCTTAATTTTCATCATGTGCAGGTTGAATTTAAGAAGTTAGATTCGAAGGTTTTAAATCCATTTGTCACAATGTGTCATATATTTCCCCTATAATAGTACTATAAAAGTTCCCATAACCATATAGCAATAACAAGAATGGTGACACAAACTCAACAAAAACTTCTTTAAAGGAAGACCAACAATTTAAGAGCATGATGATAGACTTGTACATTAGGAGAAGAATATTATGAGAATAACATTATTAATTGAATAATCAATTTCTTCATATGAATAAAAGCAACAACAACAGATATTTTAGTCTCAGCAACGGGCTTGAGTATGATAGTTTGGTTCGATGAAGCAAATATACATCATATAGAGTGCATTACATGGTGGGAGTTAGAAGAGTCAATGTTGATATGTTAGTTTGGTCGGCAGGATCATAGTCGGTGAGCGATATAAGTCAGAAGGACTGTAGTCGAGCGACGGTGGTTGGAAGGACCGTAATCAGGTAACGGTGGTCGGAAGGATTGTAGTCAGGCAATGGAGGTCGGAAAGACCATAGTTGGCAGGCGACAGAGCTTGGAAAGACTATAGTCGGGTGATGGTGGTCGGGAAGACCATATTATGGAGATGGTAGTTGAAGAGACCTTAGTCAGCGGGAGACGGAGGTCGAAAAGGTGGTAGTCGGGCGAAGGTGGTCAGAAGGATCGTAGTCAGACAACGGAGGTCGAAGACATTGTAGTCGACGGGTGAGGGAGGTCGAAAAATCTGTAGTCGGGAGAAGGTGGTTGGAAGGACTGTAGTCGGACAACAGACGTCGAAAAACCTTAGTCGGGCGAAGGTTGGCGGAAATATCGTAATTGGGCGACGGAGGTCAGAATGACCGTAGTCTACGAGCGAAGATGGTCAGAAAGACCGTTGTCAGGCGACGGAGGTCGGAGGACCGTAATCAGTCGGTGACGGTAGTCGGAAAGGTTATTGTCAGGCGATGAAATAAAAATATGGACTTTGACCTTCAAAAATAGCAACTTTTTTCTTCGAAATCCCAAGAATAGCCGCTGAAATTCACCAAAACAGCCCACCAAAGGTCCCAAAAACAGCTTTGATACCAATTTGATAGAAAACAACCCAAAATAATGGAAAACAAAGCAAAAATCTGAAGTAAACAGCAGTTTTTCTCACAAAACTGTAGGAAATCTGAGGGAAAACACTTGAAATTCACTAGTAGAAGAAGAAAAACAGCAAGATACAATTGATCCTCTATTCGAGAGGAGGATTGATCTCCCCCAAATCTCTAGACGCCGCTAGAGCCCAAAGAAAACATAAATCTAAGATAACTCAAATTTCAGCCAAATTCAAGATTCTCTAAGCCTAGGAAAACAAACTATTTAATGCATACAAATCAAAAAGAAATCCTTAAGCATTCCCTACATTCAAATTTCCCTCCCAATTCCCTCAAAAAATCTTCCAAAATAGCTCCCATGGATCTCGCGGCATGCGCAGGAGGTGGAGAAGTTCCAACTCTGTTGCACTGGGTCAGTCCTGTGTGGACCGGTCTAACAGTTTACATCTAGATTATAGAAAAATACTCAATAAGATTTGACGACAAGATTGAATATTACATCAACAAATTGAAAGAAAGTCTTTGAAGGTGATTCAAAATTTGAAGAATTTATTAAGATTGTGTATGTTTGACTTTGAAAGGAACTAGAAAGATCATATCAAAATGATAAACTTTATATATAATAATAGCTATCTATCCAACATTAGCATGACTCTTTATGAGACACTATAGTAGGAATTACAAAACATCTCTGAGTTGAGTAGAGATTAAAAAGAGAGATAATTGTGTTAAATCTAGTTGATCAGTGTTATCGGGTAAAGATTAGAAGTACCTTAGGATGGATAGAGAAAGTATTATGATCTCAAGCACAAACCATTGAAGTTTTCAATTGTGTATTGTGGATGTTAAAATGAGTCCTCCTCTTAAGGGAGTTGAAAGATTTAGTAGAATTAGGAAACTGAGTACCATGCTTGTAAGCCCATTCAAGATACTCATGGAATTAGGAAAGAGGCCTATAAAATAAAAATTAATTACTGATATGAGTGACGGCATATTATGTTCCAAATCTCTTAATTAACTTCCTAAAGCATATGTCATAGGAGGTCAATAAAATTCCACAGGACAAGGTAGTAGAGAAATGGGATCTAATTTATATAGAAAAGCCATAATGGCTTCTTATATATGTCATGAATAAGCTCCTAAATAGAATAATAACATATGTTAAAGTTTGATGGAAGCATAAATCATAAAGAGAAGTCACTCAATTGAAAGAATTGGACATGAGGCAAATGTTTCTTTTCTTATTTTTAGTAAATGTCATGGACAACAATATTTAAATAAAGGAAGATTGTAATATCTACAATGATGATGACATGTGAACATTTTAAGATCCTCATGAAAAGTGAATCATGACATTTTTTTTAAATAATATCATGTTTTATATGATAATATAAATTACTCAATAATTTATTTGACTCTCACCATATATATGACTATTTCATGCACCAATAATTTCTTAAAATATCTCATGACATCTAATTATAATTTACATAATTTATCACATATTTTATGAATTTTTAAAATATTTTTTCTAAGATTTTATGCAAATGTTCAATATTATCATCATTTTTCTATAGAATGAACTTTACTTCCAAATGACCAAAAGAACATTTTGCCCCCAACATTCCACTTAAGATGACATGCAAGCCATTTGATAATGTGTTATTCTATGTGTTATATTTCAATGAAAATGTGTTATTTTAGTTGTATTGTGCAGGAAAAATACAGAAAAGACATAAAGTTCTAAATTTCATATAGTGTCGCGGCGTCCGAACAAACAACGTTGCAGCGCCATCAAAGACACTGTCAGAGCACATAAATATTGACATTCCAACACCAACTTCTCTGTCGGACAACGTTGCAGCGTCAAAAGTTTAGCTTTAAAGCGTCATGTTCTCTGTCAGACAGTGCTGCAGCGGCACACTGTATAAAACCTTGGCGCCAAAATTGCTTTTCTAGAGCCGCAGCGTTCGAAAATCAGCAGCGCTGCGGCGTAGCAGTTGTAACTTCAAAAGGACACAATATGTCAGTGAAACGATGCGACTATTCACTAAGTAATTGATCCACGTCAACAAGTGTTGTCGCGAAACCAGAAAAGCAGCACAACGGCGTTAGTTTATTTGTTGGGCGCAGTGGCACCGATATTTCTAGCGCTGCAATGCTAGATGCCTACTTTATGTTTTCCTATAAATAATCATTGTGTTATGTTTAGTCACTTAAATAATTTTAGCACAATTTAGAGTGATTCTCTTAATTTTTCTTAGGGTGACAACTAAAGGAATTTAGTGAAGTAATGTTTACCATCATTATAGTATTTGACTTTTATTTATGGAAGCAAATTTGTAAGAAAAGAGGAGTGTAGAGAAGATCCGTTGAACCACTCTGGTGATATCTATCTCTTGTATCTTCTTTCTATCATGCTATTAATGAAAATGAGTTTGCTTCAATTCTACTCCATGTCTATCTAATTCTCTAATTTTGGATTGATGATGTAAATATCATATGTTGTACCAATGAATTCTCTTATTCCTTAAATGACTAAAGAGATGTTTTCAATATTACCAAATTTTCATTTAATACACATAGTGGTCATATGTATAGTTAAAATTAGGTGTAATGTGGGGCCTCGATGGAGGGAAGTAGACATAACAAGGAATATTGAATTAGTATGCGCCATATCTAGGCACATGATATGAAATGTACTAAATTCTTAAAAAGATTATATAACCGTAGGAAGTCAGTGGACATCATTTGTTCCTACAAGCTCGACAGAGATCTGGGGATACATATGCTCTGAATAGCATCACAATTAAAAGAAAATCATTAGGAAAAATATGTTATTTATACTCATCAATCCAAAACATTATATTCACATAGTGTATTCATTATATTAATCTAATTTTATTTAAGTGATTGAATCTCCACAACATCCATTTTTATCGAGTGGGATAATTGTTGTAATTTTAGCAGACAATACTAGTGTTTGCAAGTGAGCATATCTTCCTCCGGGAATCGATATTCTACTCTATCACTATATTACTTGATTCGGAACGTATACTTACGTATATTAAGTGAGATTTTTATAATTTTTATATCAAAGAAAACCTAAGCATTGTTAGGGATTGATAGAGCACTAAATCATTTCACAATTATATAGGTTACTCCACAGCCCCCATCAATATCCAACAGTCATCTTGTCATTAAGAAACCAAATTAAAAAAAAAAAATCCTTTAGCCATGAAAATTAATTCATTTAAAGCTTAAATGATATATCTTGTGTTTAAAGGGGTTAAAAGAAGGCCAACACAATTTTCAAACCCTTTATGTGTTTTAAGGGAGGTCAGCATGGAGGGTTAGAAGAAGTGGAGAAAAGCCTAGGAGAAGAGAGAAAGAGCTTAGGTTTTTTCTTTTGAAAGATGGATCAGAGTTCCATCAAAAGATTTCAGGTAGAAAATCTTTATCCTAACTTATGAAATAGTTTCTCTCTATTGTATGATGCTTGAAATATGCCTTTGAGATTCATATGATTGGCCATGAATGATTAAGCATATGTGAATAGAGATCTTCATTCATATTAATTCGCAATTGTTATGTGTTTATGACTTTATGTTGAAGCAATTTGAGTATTTTCGTGTTCCTACAAATTGTACAAAGACATGCAATATGGATTGCTTATGGAACTTTATGTTTAATCCAAGAGTGATTTTTTATTTATCATGTATGGTAGTGTGTATGATGAACTCTTTATGTTGGCAAACTAATTTATAACACATTAAATATTGTAGCATTTTACATGCTTCATTTGACATAAGAGTTGAAAATTTCATGTGTAGCATACTTTGCAAATGATCCTACATGATTAGCTGGCATTATGAAATTATATCTTTAAGCATGAAAATTATAAATAATATTACATTTTGTGTATGAAGGCCTGATGTTGTATTACATTTTGTGTATGGAAAAAATAGCTAAGCATCAATACACAATTTGGCGACTTACCTCAAAAGATTGAGGGATACATTGGCGAATAAACTCTCTGATATGTTTGATTTCCCTTTTTAAGAAGAATTGTACATGTGAATGATACCAACAATAGATTTATGATATGATATGATTGACCCCTCTTTTAGGGAGAGTTGTACAGGAGACTCAACCGTTCTTTTTAGAGAGAAATTAAGTGTGTATCAATAATACAATGATTGCAATACAATCTTTAAGGGAGACGTGATGGTAGCTGTGGTAATAATCTTTCTATTTTTGATCAATTAACTTAAAATCTATGACTAACATGTTACTCCCTAAAAAATTGTATTGAATCATCTCCCCCAACACCTTTGTCGCAAATATCTTCCACAAGACATGTACCATTCTTATATCCTACAAAATTAATACCACAACTACCGTCAAGTTTGCAAACAACTACGATGTTGAGCACACCTGTTGTATTAATGTCTTCCCCAATCATTAGGAAATAGAACATTTTGTATTTAAACATATTAGTGAAAGTTGTTCAACTAGGAAAGATCCTGTGGCTTTTCACTTCTTGGGTTGCCAGAATAAAAATTCCATACTCAATCTCCACTTGGCTGCTTTTGTGTGTGAGATCAAAAGAACTAAAGCAATCTAGATCAATTCTCTCTCTAACGGCTCATTTACTCACATGCAAGAGGTCTAGTTTAAGATAATATGCAGCTAGAAAATGTGGCACAGTAGGGATTCTTAACTGCATAATAAATACAGAAACAAACAAAGGAAATCATGTGGACAAAGCAGATATTAGAAGAGTGACAGATAATTGAAGGTGCATTGGAGAGATAATTCAAAGTTGCTGTTCTTCTAAAATGAGAAAGGTTGTATACAATATGTTATGAAAGATTACTTTGACAGGAAAAAGAAGGGGTAAAGAAAGGCCGGAAATGCCACGGCTTCATTGACTGAGGCTACCAAAGCTACCAATCAAATGACCGAAAGATTAATAACTATCTTGAATAGCGAATTATGAATAGCGTAATTCGAATTATTTGGGTAAGCTTTATTGCCAGAAAGGATAAGTTACACAAACAAACAATAAATATGTTTTCAAAAAGTTTCTTATAGACAACAATATTTATTTTAAAGGAAGGGATGCATAAACTTTGAAAACAAGAAAAGCATAATCACCACAAGAAGTAAAAAATATGCCGAAATCAGCATGGAAAAATCTCACTAATACATGGTTTAATGGGAATTTGGAGAGTTGATTTCAGCATAAATTTCGGCTGAAACATGGGGCGGGCTCCACAGCATTTCCCATTTGTTGAACTAAACACGAAGTAATGTAAAGCGCATAAAACACTTATGAATTTGAAAAATGATAACGAAAAACCTCATGTACCTTTGCAGCGGAGAGAATGAGAGTAGCATGCTTGGCTTGCCATTCATTGAGATCCTTTCGTACATTGGATGGTGTTGTGCTTTCGTCGATATCTGTTTCCTCTGTAAATAAATGTCATCATAAAGCATTTCAGAGGAAGAATCCAACGAATAAGAAAAAGACGAGAAGCAATCCATAAGGCGATGAAAATATTCGATCAATTAGGAAGTAGGAAACAGTGAAAACCCCGTATCTCGCCTACACCAACCATAACGAAGAAAATAACAGAATAACACATTAAAATCTGGGTGCCTGCAACAATGATCTCAGGAATGCCAGCTTAACATGTTCACAAGAACAACAAGGATGATAAATGATGAAAAAGAAAATCACAGCACTCCCAATGTCAACATTCCACTGAAGATTCCAGTAAAACACCATCGGACGAACACCAAAAAAAAAGGATAACTCGACAGTGATTAAGGAGCATACCTTCCATGGGAAAATCCTTGAAGGTGTTGATGGTGAGTCCTCTAACAAATTCCTTGAGCTCGTCCGTAATGCCAAACTTCTCGAGATCCAGTGAAGGCTCCCTGGAGATGAAGGATCCAGAGGCGGTGGCCGTAAGGGCGTTAACGGGAATAGGGATCTCAGCGGCAAGGGTCTTGATCTGGTCGGCACGGCGCAGGGCTTCAGTCTTGAATTGATCCGCGGCCTTGGTGGCCTCGGCGGCCAACTCCTTGGACTTCTTCGCTGTCTCGGAAACGAACTCCTGAGAGAATTTGGCCGCTCCCTTTGTCAGCTCCTGCGATCGTTTCGCCGCCTCCTCCGCCCGCTTCGCTGCCTCCTCGGCGAATACCTTGGCCCTCGTCCACAGATCCATGGCGAGGGAAGAGAGAGGAGGAATGGGGAAGCAGAGATCCCGGGGAGATTATTGAATGAATCAAAAGTATTCTTTTAAATTGGATGACCAGTCTAGTACTCTAGTCGAATATCCATCTGTTAAGTTTATATAGTGAGCTCAATCAAACTCGGCTCGACTTACGGCTCGGTTTGATTCCTCCATCTCTTCATCAAATTCTATTTTATTTTAATATAAATTATTATTAAAATATATTATATAACTATTATTTAAATTAATTTTTAAATATATTTTAAATTAATTATGCGGTTCAACGAGCTTATGAGCCACAAAAGGCTTAGCTTGAGTTAGATCTTATTTAATATATGAGTTCAAGTATAGGCTTGAGCTTGAACTCTTGGCTCGATAAACTTGACTCGTGACCTCGTTAATGAGTCAATCTTAATCTAGCTCGCGAACGAGTCAAGCTCAATCCAACTTGGAGCCGGCTCAACTCACTTACACTCTTAGGCAGCCTATTAGGCTAATATTCGTACTTGTGGTTCAATATTCGACTCGTGAGCTCATTAACGAGTCAATCTTAATCTAGCTCGTGAATGAATCAAGCTCAATCCAGCTTGCGAGCCATCTCAACTCACTTACACGCTTAAGTAGCCTATTAGACTAATCTTCATACTTTATAGAATATATATTGGTCAGCACTAAAGCATTTCATTTTTAGTCATCTATAGATGTGTGCAGAATTCCATCAATCAATAGTTCAATACCAGAGCACATTACACAACAAAAAATTTATATATCTCATATTTTTTATTCAATAATTTTGATAGCATAGGTAAAGGAAACATTTTTAGAGAGATGGTGATCTCATTAGAAAACAACTATGGGAAGCATAAAATGCTTGTCATTACTCATTATATATCTTTGACATAAAAAAACGAGTCAATAATAGATAACTGCTTTAATTTTTTTAAATTATAACTTTTAAACAATATATTTTAGATAAATTAATAAAAATTAGACAATCATACAAAAAAAAGAAAAAAATTATTTAAACGGGTCATTTTGTGTCAATATCGAGGTTGCGAGTTAACTCAAATCCGACCTGTTTAATAAATAGGTTGAAATTATAAATCAAAATCCGAACTTTAAACGGTTCAATCCGAACACAAATTTTTCTGCTCAGGTTCAAATCAGGTCTTTTTTTTTCACCGTATGACCCTAATGGTCCTGTTATTTAGAAATTTATCTCTCTCCATTAGATTTCAAAGATAAAGGTAGGAGGTTCTAATGCTTGTTAGAAATCTAATTGTTTGCCGAGCTAAGCAAAACTTCCTTAATGAGCTGTGCTTACTATTTGTTTGCAAACTTCTAACTGTATCGAGTCTATTGACCAAATGCTTAAAATTGAAATCTTATGAGGAAGAAGCTTTTGACATAGCCCATTATAAGCTAGGCTTGTGGGCCAATGGGCTGGCCCGTTTAAATTGACAACTTAGTTTGCCTTTATGAGAATTTTCAATGATCAAATGTATATTTTCGAACAACTTAGCTTTCGACGTTAAAAAATACAAGAAAACTTAACTATCATCATCAAACCACCATCATTGTTGGCCAACTGTAGTTCTCGTACCACTATTGTCAGATTATGGTATCTTATTTATCATTGTCTAACAACGACCTCCTAGCCACTATCATCCCTCTACAACCTCTGGACCATTATCACAATACTGCATCGATGCTTGTTGACTTCATTGCTTGTTATCACCAATAGCGTTGACGAATGCCATCAATATCAACATAGACTCAGAAGATAATGATAAAAAATACAGTAAACAATTTATTGAATACAACTCCAAAGCCATTTGTTCCTCGAGCTTCAACCAAAAATTTTGTTTTATATGATTTGGATCCCCTATACTGTATCACCCACTTCTCTGATTGCAGCCTACACTAATAGAATTATTTCAACTATATCAGGGGCGGATCCACCTTAAGCTAGGAGGGGTGCCCCCCCTTAAAAAATATATATTTATTTATTATATGATTTTATAGGTAATATGTTATCCTCCATCTATTTTTTTGCTCCCCTAAAAGTTTTTAAAAACTATGATCTTTAAGCAATTGCCCCCAACATTATTAAATACTTTGTGTAGAGGTGTTAGTGCTAGGGAACAATGAACCAAATACAAAGATAAATAGTATGATAATTCATCATTTTAAATTATTAATTTGAATTCCAAAAATATCTTTACAACAAAAATTTGTTCCGGGGTCAGCCCCCTGACATATTTGTGAAACATACGACGATTAAGGATACGACGATCAAGGATATGAATAAAAAGGAGTCGAGCCAAATTCAAGGTAACTACAACATATATGGAAAAAAAATTTCTACACTTTTACTTATACGTTTGCCCCCCATCACAAATACAGATAAAAGAGAGGGGAATTTTATTCAAAAGAGACACATGAATTTTTACATGGAAACCCCTTAAAAAGGGGGAAAATCACTGTTTTGGTTGTAGATTACAAATGAAGCCAATCCTTTGGGTGAAGGCCTTGGCTTGATCTAGCATATATAATGCATTACATGGTGGGAATTTGAAGAATATATATTGACATGTTTGTTGGTTGGCAGGACCATAGTTGGCGAGCGATGGAGGTCAGAAAGATCTTTGTTAGATGACGGAGGTTAGAATGACTGTAGTTGGTGGGCGATGGAGGTCAGAAAGACCGTAGTGCGACGATAGAGGTCGGAAAGACTGTAGTGTGACGATAGAGGTCGGAAAGACCATAGTCGGCATGCGACTGTGGTTAGAAAGAACGTTGTCAGTCATGGAGGTCAGAAGGACCGTAGTCGACTGGCGACGATGGTCAGAAAGACCGTAGTTGGGGGGGCGACTGTGGTCAAAAAGATCGTAGTCGGGCGAAAATTATCTGAATGACCATAATTGGTCGGCGAAGGTTGGAATGACCATAGTTAATTTGGCAAGCGCCAGAGGTCAAAAAGACCGTTGTCAAGCGACAAAACTCGAAAGGATCATAGTCGGTGGGAGACAGATGTCAAAAAAGACCATAGTCCTTAATGATGTCCGAATTTGACGATCTTAGACTCGTTGGATTCGTCACATAGAGCCGCTCGATTTGACTATAAGCATGTCACATTTGGAAATCTTTTGGTCATCCAATTTATAGTTTAAACCTTCCTAATGCGCTTTGAGTCTTCGATTTGGTCCCATCCAAGCTCATATTGGGTCAAATTTGATGATTTCAGGTTCATCTTTTCGAGACGTTCAGTTTGACTATACGTTTGCTGAAATCATCGTTCGTATGGTCCCTAACATAATTTTAGAATTTTTCAACTTAATTTTGCCTTGAGATTCGTACCCGATCAAGTTAATTTTTGTATGATATATATGTATGACAGAGGACAAAATGTTTATAAAATCTTTAGGCGTATTCTGTCATTTATATGAATGACAACCAATATATCGTTACATGTAATAATCTCTCTGTATTTTGTATTACAATATAATAAAATCCGTTCAGCACATGTGATGGACCATTTCCACGGAAATAAATTGACTACTCTATTTAAATTAATTGATTAATGAACAATCTTCCAAACGAAATTCTCTTCTAGCTTTGTTTACTCTATTTGAATCCAATCTTTTCTTCTTCTTCTCTTTTTAATGCGCATTCATTTGAGAATGCAGCATTAGGCTTTTAAAATAAGTGTAAAATTATAATTACAAAATTACATAAAAATGCATTTGAAATAAAATATGTGATTCGAATTTTATATAAATTTCTTAAATATGTAACACATAATGATATAATTTGTGTAATGAAATATTTGTATAAATTTTCTTAAAAAATTTACATGAAAATAGTTATAAGCTGCCACTTGAAGATTATGCTCTCTTGAACAATTTTATTAAAGAAAATTCTAATGAGCTTTAAAATAAGTATATTTGCTTTGAGAGTTGTGCTATATATATACATGAAGAGGTAGTATTGCACTAATCTCAAAGCAAATTCATTAATTTTAAAACTACCTCATACAATTAATTTGTGTGAAAATATTCCCACACAATTTTTTCCCATTATTGAAGAAAATCCTAATGAGCTTTAAAATAAGTGTATTTGCTCCCTTTGAGATTTGTGCTATATATAAATGAAGATTTAGTATTTCACTAATCTCAAAGCAAATTCATTAATTTTAAAATTATCTCATACAATTTGTATGAAAATATTCCCACAAAATTTTTTCCCATTTTATTTAAGTTGCTTATTTTGTTTAATTTAAGAGAAAGTGAGTTTTTTATTTCCCGTTATGATTCGTTTGGCATAATGGTAGGATAGGAAAATAAAAATTAAAATATGTATTTATTTCTTACTAATTATATTGAAATTAAATGCTCAATAATATGTGAAGTAAAATACATTTTATTTTCCTAAATTCCTTCAAACCAAATTGAATCTTAATAAAATTTCTCACTTATTTTTAATATTTTAATTTTATGATGTGAAAAAATGATGATATTTGAATAATTGTTTGTATGTTTTTAAAATTATTTTTATTCACCAAAGCAAATCATGTCTAAATATTCGAAAGTAAATAGCATTAAAACATGATACATGTCGCTACTTCATGCTTCCACCCCGTTGCCGACACTCTCCGGACTTCCACCTGGCTGCCAAGTGTCGCCGGACTTCCGCCCGACCTTTGTCGGATCATTCCCTGTCAATAGAACTTCTACCCGGACGCCGTCAAACTTTTGCTTGACTCGCCAAACATTTGTCTAACTCTTCAAACTGCTGTAATTTGACAGCCTCTAAAGTCAAGATACGGGTCAATATTTGTAATTCACTCAAATTTAGTAGAATTTTTTCGCATGGGCGAGGCCCCATGATTTTTCCCTTTTCGGACTTTCCACGTAAAAGAGATCAGGTAATATTGACCATTATGCCTAATTATATCATTTTGTGTTAATTATTTTAGTGTGACGGACCATTTCGGGGGATGAAGAAATAATCTTATAAGTTTATGTGACAGGTCAAAGTTCCGTGCTATCACAAATTCTCTCGAGCTTTTTAAA